AACCTATTCATCCACGAAACTTCCACCAACTTTGCAGCACTAGTTTATGCTAGCCATACATAATGTTGGACCCTATAGACTTTCGAATATTCAATCCTACCCTAAGCTCCTAATCAAACAAGAACAGAACATAAGACAAAATCAAACATTCTCAGGCTATAAGATCTTAGTTATGTATAACCGTGATGCCTACACTAGATAACTACAATAATGATGTCAATTTCATATAAGAGAAACCTTAGGCTAGCTGGCATCATGTAATCAGGCAATTCTATCATGCAATTCCTGAAGATCCCTGGCCTAATACTAGCATGTTGTTCTAACATATCACATAATCAAATAATTGTATGGTATTTTGGGGTCTACTTACTGGCTCCGGCTGATCGTACACTTCACATCCTCTTTTAGTTATTTTGAAAACCATTTAAAAACAATTTTGAAAATCTTACCTTGATTTGAGATTGGATTCACATGAATGTTCCTCCAATTCACTCAAACCAAGGCTCTGATACCAACTTGTAACATCCAAAATTTCAAACCAATTTAATCTTTTTAAAACATATCAAGTTCATCAAAACATTACAACTTGTTTTCAAAATATTGATTATCAGAGTTTTTCCTAGAAACATAAACACAATAGGAGGAGCTGCACGATCACGCCTTGGCCTTGCCTCAATCCCCTGAAGTACCTGAAACAATAAACTGAAACTGTAAGCCTGAAAGCTTAGTGAGTTACCCCCAAAATACCGATACACATACAGTCCACATAACAACATCAATATTAACATATGATATCAATCAAAATAGAACGACATGCACTGTGTCCAAAGCTTTACAAGCTGGACTACCCCTGGGCCCTCAGTACGATTTTGGAATGCCTGTCGGGCCCTCAGCTCATATCTGGAATGCTCTCGAGTCCTCAGTATGAGTCTGGAATGCCTACCGGGACCTCAGCTCATATCTGGAATACTCTCGGGTTTGTTGCCTACCGCACGGAGCAGTACAACCTCAACCCACCCCACATAACATGTCGACATGTAACAGATAAATGCACATACAAGTAATCAATTAGTACCACAGGCAGTCCTACAGGTCTACTCGACTAGCATATAAAATGGCATACATTACTGACTCAACTCAACATAGCAATAACTACTAGGATATCAAACCCAATGGGCTGGCCTTGGTGCCTTAGACCCCTTAGTATAGTGAGAACAACTCACCTCGCAACTTACGTCAGAAAACTAAAAGCTTCAACTCCCGGATCACCAACACGAACTTCACTACCTATAATTGCCATACAACCCTTTTTCATAAATTCCCAAATTATCAGAATACCCTTAGAAGTCATCTGGTCAACTCTTGGTCAAAGTCAACACCCACAGTCAAAGTCACAGTCCATGTTGACTCGACTCGTCGAGTGCAGTTCATCGACTCGTCGAGTCCCTTCTGGACTCGAGAAGTTATGAGATCCTTGATTGGCTCGTCGAGTCCTCCTTTAACTCGCCAAGCTCATACGTGTCCAAGAAATGGGGAACTTTAGTCGACTCGCCAAGTTTTTTAACGAATCATCGAGTTCAAGGCAAACTTCAACGGACTCGTCGAGTTGTTCATCAACTCGCCGAGTCTACGGCCAAATTCATCGGGCTCGCCGAGTTGTTCATCCAACTCGCCGAGTCCTCGCAAACCTCCATCCATGCAGATGCTTTTTAAGCCATGGCAAGGCTCCAGATTGCAGATCCAAGCCTCTAACGCATGTTTATCACGTAAAGTTGCAAACTTTGCGCACATGCAAGGTTCTAAAGGCTCTAAATGACAAATCTATGCTTTTAATGGAGTTTTACACCTTGGGAGAGTCTCATTCTTGCACAAACTAGAAACTTTATGTACTAAGATGCCTAAAGGAGCTCAGTTCTGAAGTTACAACTTCAGATCTGAGGTTGCAAAGAAGAGTAGCTTCTAAACACACTATGAAAACCCTAGAAGTTGCCCAAAAGAGTGAATGAGGTTAGGGTAACGATTTATACCTTCCAAAAGATGCTAACCACAATGGATCTTAGGTCCTTCAAGCTCCTTGTTTCTGAATGCTTGGTCTCCAAGCTCTTTTCTCTTCAAGAATTCCTCCTTTAAGTTTCAAATGCACAAGATGAGCTCACACATGCGATTTGGACTTTAGAGGGACAAGAGGCAGTGAATGGGAGGCTAGGGGGTGGCCAATGATCCTTTAAATAGGGTGAAATGCCCCGAAATTTAGGGTTTCATCTGCCAGCCCCTACTCGTCGAGTCCCTTTGTGGACTCGACGAGTAGATCACTAAATCCACGATCCCATCTTGCTGCTACTCGACGAGTAAGGCAACCTTAACTCGTCGAGTAGGACTTAAAACTAAAGAAATTCTTTATTTAAATATATACCTGAGAATCAGGGCGTTACAGCATCATACCAGATGGGTATACCCAACGTACTCCCTAGATCACCATCCTACCCTACTAAGCACTTAATCAATTAATCCCTTGCTCCAAATTCTCAGATCTGATTCTTATGGACGACTTATCACATAGAGTTGCCAACTTTTATGTGCATGCATGTCTTAATGGGACTTAAGAGCTCAAAAGAGCTTAATAAATGACTTAACACATGCATGAGACCAAAACCACCATAAAGTTTGCACCTTTATGCTCAAGAAACCCTCAATGTGCCCAAATCTACAAGAATAAGCTCAAAAACGTCCTAAGCTCACAATACCAACCAAAAAGGGACTAAAATGACCATAAACAAGCTAAAAAGTAGATCTATGAAATGGAATGACAAGCTTTGAGCTTTATACCTCAAAAGCCACTAAAAGAAGGTGCAAAAGTTGGATATTAAGAGTCTCTACCAAAGAATGAGTCTTCAAGTTTCGTCTTCTATCCACTTCAAGATGCACAACAACCACTAAAAGCTTCATAAGAGCTCAAAAGTAACATACAAAGGCTAAGGAACAAATTAGGGTTTTCTAGGGTATGGAGGCTCGTTAAACAAGGCAAAAAGAGGCTATATTATGGTTTATATAGGACACAAGCCCTTAAATTGGGGTTTCTACACTACTCATGTACGCTAAGCGTACTTTACGTACGCATAGCGTACGTGGATGAGCTCTGCGACCCATCTGCATTAGTACACCCAACGTACAAGGAGTACGCCCAACCTACTCCAACTTTCCTAAAGTTAGAAATTCAGCCCCCTACGGACTAATTTGCAAACAATACACCCCCAAAGGGTCTAAACCGAAATGCACAATAAACCAAGCGTTAAATTCAAACCTTTTTGGACCAAAGTGACAATTTTCGACCAGAAGGACCATCTGTGCAGTTTTGTCTTTAATACACACACACACATACACACACACACACACACACACACATATATATATATATATATATATATTTAAAATTTAAATAAATTAATTAAAAGACTACCAAAAAGTACTCTCCGGATAACTCCAATCTCATACCTTTAACTTGGTCTTCATGATTAAAATTTTGGAAAAAGACTTAAAAAGGTAACGAAGTTCCAAAAATGTACAAAAAAGACAATTGTCTTTGTTTAGTACACAAAAGACCATTGAATCAGCTATTGTATGTAACCATCATGTTACCCAGTTTTCATAATGTTCAAAAAATACCATTGTTGTTTTTTAGTACAAAAAATATCATTAAAGTATACTATTTGTGCACAGAATACCAATGAAGTATACATTTGTTCAAATAAAATATTGTGGTAACCAGTACTTCAGGTAAATGGAGAAATGACTTAAAAACGTAACGGAGTTTCCAAAATGTTCAAAAATACCACACTTTTTGTTAACTTCGTTGTTGTCGGATTATGTAGAACACAGTCACCAGAGATCATGCACCGTCATACCATTTTACAACAGTTGTGCAATCTCTTTCATTCCCTCTATTGATCATTCTTGTGGTAACATGAGAAGTAAGTGGGTAATAACCTTAGTTAAACATTCTTGCTTCCCGATCGCATTACATGCCTTAAACCTAAAACATATATACGTTATATAGATACACATATTATACATCAAGGTTAGCCGTTCATTTGTGTTGCGATATAAGAGAGACACAAGGGAGAAACGAGTGTAGTTATGTCATGAGAATTCCTAAATATGGATGTAGAGAGTAGGAGTTGCGTTTAATTCTCCGGGACCAGTGAAAGATGAATGGCTAGGAACACTCAGCATCATGTGGTTGATTTGATGACAATTTGTAGTCAAAGTAGAGAGAAAAACATATGTGTTGGAGCGCTTGAACGCTTTGCATCATAATTGATGGATTCTTAGTTATGTGTTTTTCCTTGATTGTATTTAGATACAAACGATTGAGTAGGGGAATGAAAGAGAGTACACAACTGGTGTGAACTAGTATGACCGTGAATTATCTCCGATAACCGTGTTCTATATAATCCAGAAACAACGATGTTAACAAAAGTTGCTATTAAAAAAACAATGGTATTTTTTTGAATATTTTGGAAACTTCAATGGTATTTTTGTAATAAAATGTGTTCTTTGTTGGTATTATCTATACAAATTGTATATTTCAATAGTATTTTATATTTTTTGAATATGTTGGAATCTTCGTTACCTTTTTAAGTCAGTTTCCCGTTTACCTGAGGTAACCAGTTACCATACGATTTTATTTGAACATATATGTATTTCGTTGGTATTAAGTGTACAAAAATATATTTTAATGATATTTTATATACTAAAAAACAGATTTTTTTTTTTTTTTTTTATATATTTTTGAAACTTTCCTTACCTTTATAAATTATTTTCCTTTATAATTTCTCAAAGGCAAGCAGATAGGTTTTAGTCCCCGTAACAGGCCCGCAGGATCCGGGTCCGCTGAGGTCTATATCCTCTGTGAATGGGTGTTGGGCTGGGCTGGGCTGGGCTGGACAACCGAGGCTACACTTAATAATACCGTGATCGTATCACAATCCACATTCTACAATTCGAGAAACTTCCAGTGAGTATTCAACATCAACGCTGTGCTCAGCCCTCGTCGGCGACTCTTTTTCCCTCGCCCCGTACTCAGCGGCTGAAGCTACTCTTTCTGATTTCCGTTGCGTTGCTCCCTCTCATCCTTATCGCCGTCGCTTCTCAGCCTCAGGTAAGTCTAAAAACAAGATTCCCTTGTCTATTGTTATGAAATTTGTATCCTTTTTCAGTTTTTTGCTGTATTGTTATGAAATATGTATAAGCTATGATGTTAGTTTTTTTGTACGTTACTTTGGCTGAAGTGTTGTTGCTGCTCTTAACATCAATTTTGTAAAACGAGTTTAGTTTCTCCTGTTAGAGTTGAGGTATTCTTTCCTAAGTGGCTACACATGAGTCAGTAGTTAGATGACTCGAGGTTCATTGAACTTGCTTTTTGTTTGTAGTTAGATGACTCGAGGTTCATTGAACTTGCTTTTTGTTTGTTATCTGGGTTGGACTTTCATTACATGAGTCGTTTCTACCATTTGACCTAAATCCTATTACTCATTCCGCAGAATTAATAGCATATTTGCAACTCTTAGGAGTTTCAACCCTATGATTATCTCTCATACTCTTTACTAACTACTATTGATTGATTCCTTTGTAGTCATTTAGCAGAATCATTTTCGATGGAAGTCGATTCAGAATCAAATGGTAAAGCATCAAAGGAAGCTCCATCATCCATGGAGACAGAATCCGCAAGTTCATCTGGAATCCAAGTAAAAGCTCTAACCTAGTAACCCACCTTTAGTTTCAATCAATTTTATTCATTGTGTTTATTCAAATCTCTCTTATATGTTGGTGTTTTACTTCTTTCTACACATGTTTCCAGTCAACCGGTGAAGGAAAAGATGATATCTCCAAATCCATGGAGAACCTGCAAATAGACAAATCCTCTTCTGGGAGCTCACATTTCAAGAAGAAGCCAGTTATCATCATTGTTGTAGGAATGGCAGGTACTCTTTAAACATACAACTTTAAATCCATGGGTTGAAACTTTGCTAAAAAGGGAAATTAAATGTTACATTTCATAACCTACAGGAAGTGGGAAAACAACATTTCTTCATCGAACTGTTTGTCATACCCAAGCAACTAACACAAGGGGTTATGTACTGAATCTTGATCCTGCTGTTATGACTCTCCCTTTTGGCGCCAATATTGACATAAGAGACACTGTTCGTTACAAAGAAGTCATGAAGCAATTCAATCTTGGCCCCAATGGAGGAATATTGACTTCTCTCAACTTATTCGCCACAAAATTTGATGATGTAAGCATATTTACAACATCATTTCCAACTTTCTTGTTGTTTTTCAGATAATATCTATCTATCTTATAATGTTATGATTTGTTGAGGTTATACAAATGATTGAAAGGAGAGCAGATGAGCTTGATTATGTTCTTGTGGATACACCTGGTCAAATTGAGATCTTCACATGGTCAGCTTCTGGAGCGATTATTACAGAAGCATTTGCTTCAACTTTTCCAACTGTGATTGCATATGTTGTGGATACCCCTCGTGCAGAGAGCCCAAATACTTTCATGAGCAACATGCTTTATGCTTGTAGCATTCTTTATAAGACGAGATTACCCTTGGTTTTGGTGTTCAACAAAATCGATGTTGCCCACCATCAGTTTGCTGTTGAGGTAATGTGATTTTTTTTTTTTTTTTAAATGTAAGTTTATAAGATTTGAAATGTTTTATATATGTTTTGTTATTTGAGTAGTGGATGGAAGATTTTGAGGTGTTCCATGCTGCATTGGATTCTGATCACTCTTATCCATCAACTTTAACAAGAAGTCTTTCTCTTGCACTTGAGGAGTTTTATAAAAACTTAAAAGCTGTTGGAGTTTCAGCTGTAACTGGTGCTGGAATGGATGCCTTTTTCAAAGCTATTCAATCAAGTGCTGATGAATACATGGAAACTTACAAGTATTTTTTTTTCTCTCTCTCTCTTTCTCTCACATACACACACACACACACTGAAACCCTAACTTATATCATGGGATTGTGTAGAGCTGATCTTGACAAAAGGAAGGTGGAGAAGGAGAGATTGGAGGAGGAAAGGAGGAAAGAAAACATGGAGAAACTGAGGAAGGATATGGAGAAATCAGGGGGTGCAAAAGTTGTGTTGAGTACTGGTTTAAAAGGTGATACAAGCACAAAAATGGAGGAAGAAGATGATGAAGAAGATGAAGATGAAGAAATTGAAATGTTTAGTGATGAGGATGATGAGGATGGTGGGATAGATGATGATGATGAAGAGATTGCCAGTTTTAATCTCTGAATGTGATGATATAATCATTTTTATGAATGTAAATGAACCTAATTGTGACTCTGATAAAGTAACGATTTTGGGGTGGTTTTGTTGATGATGATGACTTTTGGGCTAAGTTTTGAAATCATATATGCATTTATATTCTATATTTATGTTATAACCCTTCAAACAAAATATCACATTCATTTATATCATTTTTCTCATTCTTCATAATTCAATTTGTTGGAAAGCAATTTCCCTTATAAATCAATAACAATGATACATGATTTATGACAGTTAAAAGATGAATTTAGCGTAAAGATAGTTTGGATAGTTGGATCATAAGGTATAGATGTTGGTTTTGATGATTACCACTATGCTTGATATTTAAGATTTATGCAACTAAATGTTTTTGTTGATTTGGGTTATAGAGTTTGGTCAAATGTGATTTAGGAATTTTTTGTGATGGAAATTTCAAGTCAGTGTACATTCTGTATCTATATCTTTTACTAGAAGTTTTCAATTGCAAACTTTTTGAAACAGACTGCATATCAATCATGAGTTATGATTTTATTATCTTTTATGAGCTTTCGAGGGTGTTTGGCTTAGCTTTTGTGGGGTAAAAGTTTTTTTTGTAAAAGGATTTTTTACAAAAGTGATTGGCTTAGCTTTTGTGGGCAAAAGTTTTGTTTGTAAAAGGATTTTTTACAAAAGTTGTTTTTTAAAATGTGTTTGGATTAGTTTTTGAAGGGAAAAAGTTAAAAGTTAAAGTGTTTGGGTTAACTTTTAGGAGAGAATAAGGAATCATATGTTGTGAATGAAGAATTGATTAGGATAGATGGAAGTATATTGGTAATTTAATATTTTTATTGTTGAAAAGTTGGGAAAAATCACATAATTGTAACTTTTCAAAAAGATTCAATTTACTCTATTGGAAAAGTTCTGTTCACTTAAACAAACATCTTTTTGATTTTTTCTAAAAAATAAAAGTAAAAATCATTTTAAAAGCTAAAACAAACACTCTCTTCGTATCTTCTTTTGTGTTCTTTTATGATTGTTGCATAACATGTGAAAGTTTCAACTTGGATCGGTGATAATGAAGAAGAAGAGTTTGTAGGTGTAAATGCCCAATCATGAAATGTTGAAAGACATAGTTACCCTTGCAGACCCTCCTCATCTGACTGCTGTAGTACCCCTAAAAGGGACTTGTTATTAATCCCACGACTATACAAAAGATAAGGATGCTATTATCATCTTGACATAACAAATAAGAAGCGGCATAAAAAAAAAAATCATAGGTCAAATCTTCAACATTGGTTCCATATAAAAAACGTGTTTTACTGTTCTAATCATAATAATCTATGTACTAGATATCTTTTATTACGACCAAAGTTATATATGGGAACTTAACACGTAAATGGCATGATTGTTACACAGCCACAAAAAACATGGAAATGAATCTAGAGGGAGGGAAAAAAGAAAGAAAGTAAAGAACTAAAGATACCACCCTTTTCTATTATCAAGAGATCTAACGCTTAAGATTCACCACAATAACACTTATATTATCTTTGCTTCCACGAGCCATTGCTAGTTCCGTTAAGAACATAGCTGGATTATTGGTCGTTCTCTTATGGTGTTCTTTCATCGATCTCCTTCGACAAGTCCATCCATCGAGACATTTTCTCACAACTTGACATGCCAAATCGTTAGATATGACATCCCATAATCCATCACTAGCCAAGATCATGAATTCATCTGCATCATCTCTTTTGTTCACAATAACTTCAGGTTTTGCAATTACATATGGTTTTAGTTGTCGATCACCTATTGATCTTGAAGTCGCAAGAACTCCAAGAACACGTAGCCCATTCCAATCGATCACTCTTCCTCCCGAAAGTTCGATTCTTTCTAACTCATCGGGTCTATTTGGCTGCATGCATGTCCAAACTTTTCATTAATATTTCAAGGTTAAAATTAAACGGTTTCTTTTACATGCAAAGATATAAGATTGTGTTAATAAATAATTACCTTATGGTCAACGGATAAGGGCACCGGGACACCACCTCTTGAAAGAACAGCCCTTGAATCACCACAATTGGCAACCACTATTTCTTTATCACCGACCACTGCAACAACGGCGGTGGAACCAATGGAATCGACAATGTCAGTTTCATTTACTTCCTCATCCATCTTAGCGAAGCTCTCCACCATCAAATTTTCCCAATTCATATCCTCTGTGTTTTTGTTTTCTATATCTATCTCTGTCGCCAACAACTTGTGTAACCGCTCACGACACGCATAAGCAACACGGGAACCACCGTGACCATCATAAACGCCATAAAAATCAAACTTCCTTGAGTTCTCATCAACAAACTTTTTTTCTATACTCACAGCATCCTCCATCTCTCTCCTGCGCCCAATCACTGAGGAATGACAAGGAAAATTGTCATTGTGTTCTTTCTTGGTGTTCTCAAACCGCCTTCTGTTGGATAAAGAGTCATCTGCATTTGACAAAAACTTCATCCTCCGGAGTTCTGTTCTCTTCCGGCGAGCAAATATTGCGTTTGATTTACTCGAATAACCGACAGCTTGTCTGCAATTGCTCGATGATGGATGTGAAGACACCGTGTGATCCATACTATTGATCATCATGTTCAAAAGAAAAACCAATTCACAAAGAAAGGTATTTTTTGGATTAATGATGGAAACAATCAACATATATAAGCAAAGATGGAGATACAAGACACAACAGTGACGCAAAAATGGTGAATTATTTTTGATTTCGGCGGTCAAGTATGGGAAACAACACCTCCTTGCCATGTTGTCATGGAGAAAGTACACGTAGGACTCACAGATAGCATGGGAAACAACACCTCCTTGCCATGGGGAAAGTACACGTAGGGTTTACAGATTCACTGTATCAGGTACGTGGAAGATTTAAGTTGGATTCTTATCAAATAAAAAAGATATATTGTATTGTGAGAGGTGAAATAATTGGTTGTTGGTGTAGTCCTAACAAGGGGGAATTTAATGGAAGAAAAGATAGTGTCCCGTGAAAGGTTATATGCTACTCATATAACAAACTTTTCTTTAATCATTAAATATAATTATGAGATAATATTTTTAAATTACGATTTAAAAAATATAAGTCTATTGAAATCTGTTTTTTCTAGTATAATTCACTATTTAATTAACTAGAAAACTTTAATGTTTACAAGTCTTTATTGTTTATGGATAAATAGATATCATGACCGATTTTCATTTGTGGATGTATACTCTCGATAAATAAAATGTAGAGTAATTTAGAGTTTTGGCCCTTGTGGTTGGCACTCTTTTACAATTTTAGTCTAAGTTTTGAAAATTTAGCACCAAGAGTACTTATGGTTTCAAAATTCATCACGTCTGGTCATCCGTCTACCGAAATCCGTTAACCACAAATAAAATAACCATTTTACCATTTAGTTTGGATATTTTGTTATACTATCTTTTTACATATATAGGTGATTAATTTTATATGATTTTCACAAATGTTTTTATTATAATAATTCAAAATAAATTACAATTTTTTATATCAATTTAAGAAAAAATTATTATTTCAAAATTAATAACAATAAAAGGTATTTTTTAATAACAATTTTTTTTTTGAACAACAATAACAAATATTATTGTATACTCTTATTCTTTATAAAACATGAATATTCACCTAGTTTTCAATAATTAAAGTAAAATTATTGGAGAGTAACACCGAAACTATACTTTACTCTAAAATATAATTAAGAAAACTCCTAATCAGAAAGCCATAATCTAACATTTTAAGTTTGTATAAGTGGGTCAAGTGGTGTGTTTGCCATTAAATTGTTTGTAATATCCTCAAAAACTTTTTATTTGTATCTTTATGTTATTTGCTCTGCCTAATTACTAATGATGATTAGTCAGATATGCATATATTAACGTATGTTTTTAATGGTTTTTTTCCCTATATATCCGTTTCGGTTTTTTTATATAAAAATTAGTTCAAATCTGGTGGTGGTGATAGTAATCTTCAATATATGCAATTTTATTGATTTCTCAAATAATAAGTAGATATCTTCTGCTCAGATCATCTCAAACAATATAACAGGTAAAAAAACTAATATATAACTATTTTATTTAAAAATTACAATAAATCAAAGTCTTATATGCCCGTCTATCAAAAATTCAAAATATGGATTCAGATTTAAAATATGCCAAATCCACCACCACGTATTTACTTCGTATTGTTGGAAAATAAAACTCTGGTATGTTGTGGAATACGAGGGTTTTGGGGGTCACGTGGCTATTTGATCGCATTTTCGTTTAAGATTTTGTTCGCCACTTGTTGTATCTTCCTGGTTTCCTGGAAATATACGCTCCTTACTTTGTTAAATGATGCCACTTGTTGTATTTCCCTGGTTGCCTGGAAATATAGGCTCCTTACTTTGATAAATGACGCAATGTATATACCACATTTAGGGGCGTCTGTTTTGGTAAACAAACTTTGTAACGTCATCCATTATAAACACTCTTAACGTGTGGATATCACATCATCATCAAATTCCCTACTATTAAGGTTATGCGATGTGCCGTTTACTGCATACTGCAATATATTGCGGTATGCGGTAAACACCGTACCGAGGGGGAAAAAAGAAGTGCCGTAAAGGTGGTGTGTCGTATGGATTTGTCACACGGAAAAAAAATGCATTATTCTTATGTTGTACGTCATGCATAAAAATGTGTATTGTGGTGGGTGTGGTAAGATGAAGTATGACATCCATGAGTTTTGTGGGATATGTAAAATGTGGTGAGTGTGGTATGATATCCACCAACCTAACCATGAGATACATACTGCTAAACACAATTCAATCTTATTTTTTAATTAAATTTAATTCAAAAATATTTTTAAAACATATATTTTTTCTTTAAATATTAGTTTTTCATTAAATTAAAAGACGATATTACATTAAATAAAAATTACATGAGTTAAAATAAAAAATAAAACTAACAATACATTAACTTAAACTAGTTTGTTAAACCTTATTTTTTTTTAAGCATTCCATTTAGGAAATCCTTAAGTTTTAGCCAAGCCTTGAAGTGTTTAAATGGTATGTGGTTTGTGTCTTCATATTAACGCATGACACAGCAAATGGCTCGCATTTGTATACGTTGTTTATAACAAAGTTATAAATTTCATCAAACTCACGGTATTTCACCCTCATATCGCGAAACTTCGAACATATTTGATCAAGACTATGACTTTGGCAACCCTTTAAATCATGAAAAATGTTTCTATTTTTTACCCAAAAATCACCAAGACATTCGAGTATTTGGCTCTTCTTAAACTCCACCATGCCAGTGTTAAGTTATACTCTTTCTTTTCTGACTAATTCATAATTTTGGGAGTCATTGGTTGTGAAAAATGTGTGTATAAAGAAAGAAAAGAATTGTTGTAACGACCCAATTTTCAAGGCCAAAAATTTCATTTTTGGATTAACGCATTTAACAAACATTTTACCAAAACATTGTTAATAAAACATCCATTACAAAATCATAATGTTGTATTTCAAACCATAACATCATAAGTATGGAAAATCAGAGTACAGTCCCAAAAACTTCTTGTGGAAACATGTGTGTGTGTGATGCGCTGCAACACCGCCAGCTCTTTCCCCTTCGACGAAGAGGTACCTGAAACCAAAATCAAAACTATAAGCACGAAGCTTAGTAAGTTCCTCCATCATACCACATACCATACAATATCGTCAGTATCTTTCAACCGGTAACCTTCATCGGTATCTTTCAACCGGTAGTCTTCATCGGTATCTTTCAACCGGTAACCATCCTCGGTATTTTTCAACCGATATTCGTCATCCGTATCTTTCAACCGGCAACTGGAGACTATTGCACCCCTACCACTAGCATACAATCAACAAGTATAAACATACAGTCAGGCATATCCGGGTACTGACCTACCCTTGGGTCCTAAGGACCACTGTTAACTAATCCCTACTATGCACATAACATATAATCCAAATAAATCACATAACCAGACCAAGATAACTATCACAAAGACCATTATCTTCTAAATACACCTTTTTGATGGGCCGGCATTGTGGCCTTAGACCCACCCCTACTGGAAGGTAACTCACCTCAATGTCGTACAGTGTCTGAACTATCCTCGACGCACAAGTCGACTCCCTACGACTCCTCGATCCCTACACAACAACCTTCAAGTCAACACACATTACATACAACCCTAAACAGGGTCAGTCCATGTTCAGTCAAATTCAACATGCAGTTGACCTGACTCGCCGAGTTAGCCTACCAACTCGTCAAGTCCATGCTTCTCTAATCCCACACAAAACCCCGGCTCCACCCGCTCCACTCGTCGAGTCTAGCAAAACTCGACGGGTTCTCCTTCAATCATAACATCGGGACCATATTCATCCGACTCGCCGAATTCCTTCTTGAACTCGTAGAGTTCATCTCCAACTTAAGAACTTGTCCAGTCTATGACTCGTCGAGTTGTATGAACAACTCATCGAGTCCATCTTCAAAGATTGGGAGATTGTTATGGACTCGCCGAGTCTGCTCATACCACTCGCTGAGTCCCATAGCTTCCAGGTCCTTTTTCGCATCTAAACCCACAAAGGACTTCCTTCCTAACACTTACCGGTTCACATAAAGGGCTTGGTGCATAATGGTCACCAACTCGTCGAGTGCCAAGAACAACTCACCGAGTCCAACCTTGACCAATTCCATACAGTCGATTTAAATGAGGTCTAACACACCAAAACCATAGATCTGGCCTCCTAATGTCCATTTTATACGTAAAGTTCCAAACTTGATGCACATGCATGGGGTTTTTAGCTCAAAAATCCATATAAAGTGTCCTACAATGTGCATGGGGATCTCATGGCCCTAAAGTTGGCACCTTTATGCCACGAGACCCCTCTTAAGACCCAAATATGAAGTCCAAACTCACTTAACACTTCCAAATCCGAAAATGGCTTGAAAAGCCCTAAATGCACCCAAGATCTACAATCTAAAGATGAACAACCAAATGGAAGACCAAAGCAGGAGCATTTTACCTTGATTAAGCTGAAGATGGAATGAGATTTTTGGATTCACAAGCCCCAAGTCGAATACTCAAGCTCCTCTTTTTCCTTCCAAGCTTCACAAGTCAAAAAAGCACCAAAATGGCCTTAACACACACACAATCGGCTAGGGTTTCGATATGCAACTCTAGGAGAGTGTTAGGGACAAGGGAGGCTAAGTTAAGGTGTTTATATAGGGTGCAAACCCTCATATTAGGGTTTTTGTCCAGACAGCACAGACTAATCGAGTCCGGTCTCTAACTCGCCGAGTCAATCACTTAACTCCCGTGTCCAATCCGCTTCTACTCGACGAGTTTGGCCACCAACTCGCCGAGTCCCAGGACAAAATGCAAAATACTTAATTTAAAAACACGTACCAGGAACCAGGTGTTACAAATCCCCCCCCCCCCCCCCACTTATTTTAGACTTCGTACTCGAAGTCTACTGCTCGATCCTGAAACAGCTCGGGGTAATGTTCCATCATCTCGTCCACCGGATCCCAAGTCCACTCCGAGCCCTTTCGGTGCT